GTGCCACCACAGAAAGGGCTCTGTTTCTGTGGTGCATTGTTCTAACAGAGCTTATAGAATTAGGGCCTCTATGGCCAATCTCAGGGCCTTGGTAGGTTCATATAAAAACTGGTGCCCCTTCAAATTGCCTTTAACTTATTTCCATTTTCACCTGGTGTGCATGTATAAAAACAAGCACTTGGAGAAGAATGGGAGGGATTTCATAGCTTACACCTGTAAAAATGTTCTGTTGTCATGCCATCTGTTCGACATGCTTGTCTGTGGTGACACAGGTGCATGCTGAAGCATTAACAGGCCTAATAAAATACTCCAGAACGTGACAACCATGGAAACACCAAAGGCATTAAAAGCATTTGCAGTAACAGAGTGTGCAGGTCTCTCTAATCCCAAAGAGTTGGGATGGCTGATTTCTGAAGAGCAAACACTGACTTATTTCTTGCTCACTAAGGAAAACAAATGACTGGATACTGCAAGAAAATGCCACATCACCATATTTAAGACCGAGCTTTCTTAAATTTGGTGTACACATATATTCTATCTTAAACATGTTATATTACTACACGCAGATGCTGTCAGTGTAAAAAAAGTTACTCTTGAGAACCGATCAAATTGTAAAGGACATAATTTAAAAGCAAGTTCATAGAGTTTAGCAGGTAAAAATAGGAGGAAAAAACCATTTTTCAGAAACATTTCTAACAGTTCTAAATGGGAAAGGGTTTCCTCATTCCATGTAAAAATATGCTCACTTCTTTATTTAAACCACTTTCCTTTCCTTTCCTTTCCTTTCCGTGACATCATTACACGGATAATATCATCACATTAGTGGCGTATGTTCTGTGATGCTTGGCTGGCTGGAAACACACGTGACTAATCTGACAAAGGAACAGCGACTTGGGAGTTGGGGAACGATGCCACTCTAAACTGACTGTAGTGAAGAAAAAGCACCTAAGGATTTTTTTGGTATTGCCTTTTTTTGGTAAAAGGGAGAAACACATTTCTTCTGTTACATTAGATGCAGTGGTACAGAAGATGGCTTGCAAATATTCATGCTGCAAAGTTGGCCCCCAGAAGCCAGGCTGGGAGGGCTACTGGGTTTCTTGGGTGAGCAAGAGGGGTGGCAAGGAAAAGGTAATAAGCAGCAATGAGTTCCAGTGTGGGATTAAAGACCTTAAGCCCCATTACAACATGCACTTGGTTATGAAGGAATTTCAGGGGCAATCGAATTACGAGATTATGATCTCACGGGCAGGCAGAGAAGAGCACTAATGTCAAAAGAAGAGGGGACAGGGAGCTACTCAGCTCAGGGAGAGGGGAACTAGTAGAATATAAGTGTGCATATGTGTGAATGTACAATATACTGGAGAACACTGCTACGGAGGAGGAGGAGGAGGAAGATGAGCGCAGCTATATTTGGATACTAAAGAACATAGCAAAATATATCACAAAGGTAGACCATAATAAGAGATTTGAACTGTCCCATGTTCTGGTTCACTGGTGTGTGGATGGCAGTGAAGTTTAATCTTGCTACTTCCTACCTGCAAAAAGGTACCCAAACCAGTGCAGGTAGATGCCATGCAATTCTCCCCAGGCAAAATAGCAATTGACATTTCTCCTTAAAATTAAGAATGCCATGAGTGGGCAACAGTGACTGTGAACTGCTCCACAGAGTTGCTTAAGATTGATTATATTTATTTCCTACCTTTTTCCCATCAAGGATTCCAATGTGGCTCACACAAACGCCTCTCCATTTGATCCTCACAACCGCCTTGTGTGGTGGGTTAGGCTGAGAGTCAGCGACTGCCCAGTGAACTTCCTGGCCAAGTTGAAACGAGGTCTGGGATCTCCCGTTCCTCCATGCTAACCTCTGTGGCTCAGTTGCCACAGCAAGAGTGCCACTGCCCCCTGGCACTGGGGACATCAGAGAACCTTGTGACTTTACCCTAACCCTGAAGCTACTCTGCAGCTCCAGTGGTGGGTGGAAGGCCTGGGGTGTTCTGGTGGCAGTATAGCCAAGGCAGGTCCAAACCAGCCTCACCCCCAGGTCCAGGTCAGGAAAGGGTTGTGGTGGTGGGTGGGTGGGGGTCCCTTGAGCATTGTTAGGCAGAGGAGTGACAGGCACCTCCAACCAGTGGTGGACATGGCAGCATGCTGGCAAGAACTTGGCACCTGCCATGTCTGGCTCGGCTAGAAGGCCATCCAAGATCTGCGGACCCCTGCTCAATGCTTCGACTAAGCATTTTTCTCAGATGCATTTGGGGATTTTCTGCCATGGAACATAGTTTTGGATGGGCACGAAGTTCAAGTGTCGAAACAGAAGCGGTGCTTCCAGGGACAGAACATGAGCTACATACAGCACAAACCTATGTCTGCTGAGTGAGTAACTCACACCGAGTTCAGTATGGCTTTCTTCCAAGGAAGTGTAGACAGGTCTGCAGCAAAAAATATTTTTAGCTACTGGCATTAGAATGCAGATAGATGCCTTCGGTGAACAGGCTGACTCAATGATAAACAACAGAAATTATTTCTCGCAGTGCAGATTTCAGAACTTTGCAATGATCTTTTGCTTCTCCAGATCCCTAGAAAGTTGTTTACTTTTACTTCTTCATTACAATTTTTTGTGAAAAATGTCCCTGTGATTTTGTAAACAGTTTGTGAGCATAGTTTGGTTTATAGTTCCATGCAACTGAAATTATACTGATAAATGCTATCCTTTCGGTGCTGTTTTAGCATCCTGTTAGGGTGATATGAACATTAGCATCTCACCAAGGGGGTATGCATGGATTTTTCCAAGGAACTGCACACACTGCTACAAGATCTTCCACAATGCAGTGAGCCAAAAGACTGTGATACTAACATGAGTTTCCTGACCTGAATTCTTCATGACATGCAAGCCTCCAAAACAGTTTAAGAAATTGGTATGGGTGCATTCTTCCCTGCCCTCCCTCCTAGAGCTGTTTTCCAGAAGAGGGCCTGTCTGTAATGCAGATTATGATAAAGTAAAGAAGAGAACTATAGGCAGTTGCCTGAAATACTTCTAGTTCTCTTCATTTTCCAAAACGCTGCAATGGGCAGTGCCACTACATTCCACCACTACAAAATGGTGAGACATGGCTACCACAGCACTTACTCCTCTGCTTTTGCTTACTTAATCCTGCTCCAGAAGTCCCCTCTGGAAATAAACTTTACTCATGGCTTACTCCCTTTAAAATCTCCCTGATCGAAAGGGGAATCATGTAGTGCAACCATCTCGAGGATGTAAGGTAGTCCTCCACAACCCAGTTGTGTAGGCTATACCCCCATTTGCCTCTGCCACATGGCCAACGGCTATGCTGGCTGGGGATAATGGAAGTGCCAGGCTGGGGGAGGTAAAGGCAAGCTACAACTCTGCTCTCCCTAGCCCCCACCAAAGCAGTATCCCAATCCTATCACTGTTTTATTTCTAGTCTTCCAAGGGGAGAAGAAAGTGCTTTGGTTCAACCACTGACAGGTGAATCCACAGGGGATGAGCTGGAAACTCTCCTCTGGGTCATCTTTAAAAAGATAAAAACACAACTCTCCCTTTCCAGGGCATGGCTAATTAGGATACTAAAGGAATGTGATAAAAGCAGCTGCCAGAACAGCTCCTCTGAGCACTCTACCAAGGTGTACTCTAGCTGCAAGAATACAGCGTTTAGTGAATTATCAGTCCGCAAAAAGAAGGGCATGTCACCTGGTGCCTTCCGTCAAGAACACCCACAGCTGCTGGGATGACATATTTGAATATCAGCTACTGTGTCTGACCACACTTTAGAAATTCTGACCGGACACATAAATAGCATGTGCATATAAACTGACATCACCTCCCAAAGCCTGCTGTGTTTGGAATGGCACAGGCATGTCCCATTTTGCTTCACTTGTAGAGGCAAAGGGGATAACCTCTTTGCTCCGGAAAATGAAGACTCAGTACCTGGCTACCCTCATTGCACAGAGGGAGAAAGCAGGTTCTAAAAATGTCGAAGAAATAAAATCTGGAAGGCATCTAATGCCTCTAAAAGTACATTTCCAGAACAGGACCAGACATCTGCTTTTTACAGTTCCGCGACTTCCGTTTTCTTTGCCAATTCAAGTTTACACAACTCTGAGAGCAAGTAAGCAAAAATGGCCAATTTATTTGACACTAACATGCCAACACGAACTTCCCTTTCTTGCGAAGATAAGAATGTGCTGTTCAATACTGCCACTTGCATGCACGTACACAAGTGAAAGGGTTCTCCCTCCTCCCTTCCCTGCCGTGCTGTCCAATAGAAGCACGCTTGTGCGAGCCCAGACAGATGCAAACCATTAAAATGGCTAAGTGAAAACATCTCTGTTCTGCCAAGTTGAGAACTAGCAATCAGATCATTGGAAACACAATACATTTAAGATTATTTAAGGAAAATCAACAACAAGAAAAAAGCAGAACCTTTCACAGGAACAAAAAAAATCTAAAAGAAATTCCAGGCAGTTCTAGGGGAAGGAGGAAACTGGGTAAGTATATTTTGTACTTATATTCATTATCTAAGCTTGGAAAGAGAGGAGAAGCCCTCCTAGGCCAGGGAGCTGCCCCGACTTCTAGCTGGGTTGCTATGCAGGAATGCCACAGCAATAATATTTTAGCACCTGAAAGATCGACCAAATAAATCATTGTCCTAAATCATCTTTTCCAGTACCAGTTTAGCTTTTGCACTGAAATAGGTTTCTTGGTGCTGTAGCTCAGCTTTCTCCAACCTGGTGCCTTCCAGCTGTTTGGCGTTCAGCATACATCAGTGCCCATCAGCATGTTCAATGGCCGGGGAGGCAGGGCAGGGTAGCCCAAAGCTTAAGTGGGACAACAGGCTAGGGAAGGCAGCTATGGGTTATGTGGCATAACTCATGCCAAAGTCTGCTGAAGGAAGAATCTGAAATGAGGACAGGAAGCAAAATGCATCCAGAAACACTAAGAATTCTCTCAGGAGTGCCAACAAGAAACCAACCTACCGTACCTTCCCAGCTGCTGTCGCTGCACAAGGCTGTCAGGTCCAGCCGAGGCACTTCGGACACGGAGGCTTCCTCCTGACCGTCTCCCTCTTGGTTCTTTTGCAGTTTGGCTTCAGGAATGCTTGGAGGTTCCTGGATCTTCATGACTGAATTCTGTAACAACCCCCACAACCAAAACAAGAAATGGATGCTCAGAAATGCTTTGCAATGCTCTCTCTCTGTGTGCGTGGAGAACGATAGCTATAAATGCTTGCAAAAATAACGCACACGTCTTCTTTTACGCCGATGACCATAAAATAACCACCTCTTGGTATCCAAGCTCTTTGCTCAATACTGCTACTTCAGTTCTAATTGGCTGCTCATGCTAGTAAAAAAAAAAAAAAAAAGAGAGAGAGAGAAAACCTACACATACACACATAGAGAAGCTTTCTTCTTGGCTAAAATACCACAGTGAGAAGTCCAGCAGCCGCTTCTCTCCAAAAGTGCAAGGAGCTGTGCAGTGCCCAGTTAATGAATGGGCTGCGAAGGGAGGGAAGCAGAGCGGAGCGTGCAACTTCCCCTTCGGCGTGTGATTTCGGAGACTGCCAGGAGAACACAAACACCACCGAAGGAGTGTCACTGTTGCTAAGGCTCCTATAGCAACCAAGCGTTGGTTGTAAGTAGTCAGAACCGCTGCCGTCCCGCTCCCTAGAGGAAGCTGAGCTACCTGGCAAAGAGCGCAAGCGACGGACGGCGCATGAATGCTCCCCGGCAAGCTGCGGCGGTGCGGATCAATTAGCGCCAGCTAAGCTGGCCGGGCTGTGTGTCCCTTGCGTTTCCTGTGGTTGTTTTCTAGCTGGGTGTGTGGGAAAAGCAAGATTATTTATGGAGGAGCTCTGGGACGTTATGAGCTGCTGTTGCGCAAACCCAAAGTGTGGTGGAGCTTTGGCATTTGACAACTGCGAGCTGAAGGGCCCTGGGAAATAAGCCAGAGACCAGGCATGGCTCCCATTCCACCCGGCCCTCATTCATCCCCCCCCCGCCCCACCCGCCGACTATCATTCCTAAGCAGAGAGCTGCTGGGTAGGTGATCTATAATTCATAGCGGAGGGGAAAAAGCCGCAGCTCCTTGCTGCATTTGTGCTTGCTCAGGAGACACCTGAGAAGCATCTTGCAACCGTGTACGCAGAACGCATTGCTCTCAGTTCCCTCTGTTATTTGCTTTCTGTGCTCAACCTATCTGGCTTCACCTTCTGGGTCCGTAAGAGTCCTCCCTCTAGCCCCCCAAGACGAATGAGGCGGGAACACTCAGTCCACAGGGACGGCCAAAGGACATGTAAACATCAGTTCTCTCTGTGGAAAAGGGCCTTTGCTTCTAATCTAGGGAGGAGGCAACTGGGGGTGGGGAAAAGACCTTTGCTCCCCCCTCCATACTATGAGGGATTGATGGAAAATGCTAAGGGAAGAGATAAGACAGACTATTGAGTGATATTGTGAGAGAAATACTGCTATCAAATGTTAAACTGCACATTAAATTTTATTGTAATGGCCACCCAGAGAGTGTGATGCGAACGGGTGGCTTTTATACAAATGTAATAGATAATAATTCAATTAAATTAAAAAAGCAGAGACAACTTTTAACCTGATGATTTCTTCAGGAACTGTTGTCAATATGGGATCTCTACATTAGTATTATTATTAAATTGCATTTATGCCCTGCAAGAACTCCAAGGCAACTTACACGGTTCTCTTCCTTTCCATTTTATCCTCACAACTACCACCCTGTGAGGTAGGATAAGCTCAGAGTCTGTGACTGGCCTGGTCACCCAGAGAACTTCATGGCTCAGTAGGGACTAGAACCCAGATCTCTCAGATCCTACATAGTCCAGTTCTCTAACCATTACGCCACACTGGAAACAGAGCCTGAAAATGTGACTGCCCACAACCGCACTTTTAGCGTGTATGGCGGGATGTCTATCATTACAAGTAAACCATATTATAATAGGATTGGTTAATGCTATATTACAAGGATAGCTAGTGGCGATATACACCGTTCTTTGTTAGTAGCCTTGCTTGCTTGGAGAGGGAAAATAAACCATTTCAAGAAACTGCTATAATCTTTTGATAAATACATTAATCAATGGCCGAAGTTGAAAGAGCTCATTAGAAATACAGATAGTTGATTATATGAAGTATCCTGATTACGAGATGTTGTTGTTGCTAGTCGCAAAGTCATGTCCGACCCATCGCAACCCCATGGACAACATTCCTCCAGGCTTTCAAGTCCTCCACCATCCCCCAGAGTCCATTTAAACTCATACCGACTGCTTCAGTGACTCCATCTAGCATTCCGAGATGTAGCATTGCTTAATAATCCAATCTTGCACTCTTTATTGAAGCAATATCCCTAAGGCCCCAGGGCTGAGGTCTTTCTGCACCCTGATACCTGGAGAAACCACGATGAAGTCCAGGAGGTTCCACAGTCAAAGCATGTGTTCTGTTACTAGGCTACTATTACAACAGAGCCAGAACCGAAACTTTTATGTGTCTCAAGGCTGTAGCAGCTACATCGGATGAATGGACCCTGTAAAGGAAGCCACAATCCTGAATTTGCAAAAACTAAGCAGCACAGGACATTCACAGGGTCGCCATGAGTCGGAGATGACTTGACAGTACGTAACAACAACTAGCAGTTATGGCTTTTTTATTTTTCATTTTTGCTCTAAAGTAAGTGCAAGATCATCAACCCAGATCAGGGCCTTAGAGCGGGGAACTTTTCTTATGCCGAAACTGGAGTAAGGATGAAAAGCAAGCAAACAACAGGGCTATGTTTAAAGCAGCATCTTGGTCCCCTCTCCCTGCCCCGCAAGTTGAAAGGACATAAATCGACTTGCTTATGTAAAGAACACGACAGAGGGATTCACCCCAACAACCTCTTCCGGTGAAGCATGGGAACTCCTGCTATATATTTAGATTAACAGCTATCCCAGCTGGGGCTCTTAAATCACATATGCTATCTGTTCTTTCATTAAAGTATATGAAAACATTGTGTTTGTTCAAACACACAAACTCAGTGCAATACACTTTGCAAAATTAACCACAAATAACTTCAAAACTGATTTAAAAAGTTAATTCCAATTTGAGTCATGACAAAACAATCCATTCACTTCAATGGAGCTATTTGTATGCTCATCACTATTTGCATTAAGACAGTTCTGCTTACTCCAACTGAACTTTGTTATGATGTGCTGTCAAGTTGTGTATAATATATGCAAGCCCATGAGTTAATGCGCTCCAAAATGTCCTGTCCTTGACAACCCGGCTCAGCTCTTGTAAGCTCAGGCTGTGGCTGTCTTTGTGAAATCAATCCATCTCATATTAGTCTTTCTCTTCTTCTTTGTCTTTGCCTTTCCTTAGCATGATCGTCCTCTCTAGAGAATCCCGCCTTCTCATGGTTTACTCAAAGTATGACGGCCTCAGTTTCATCATTTGAACCTACTTCCAAGAAACTGTCCTTAGCATGACCATCTTGCAGCACAAACCTAGGTATGTTCACTCAGAAGTGAATGCCCCTGGCTTGCTTCCATGTTTATTGTGTGCAGGCTTACAGCTTAAGGATGCAATCTTAGAGGAATCAACAGGAAAACTCTTGCTTTTGCACGCAGTTGGTTTCTGCATTGCTCTGTTCTTTTAAAAAAGAATATTAGACTCTAGGCAAATGCTCTGCCACTGACAACTGGACAGTCATCCTGAGAAAAATGTGCAATGCTGCTCCAGAGCTTGAATTCAATAAAATTTTACTAAATTCAGGTAGAAGTCCTGAGTGGGATTAGAATAATTAGCACTGTTTCAGATAGCTATCAGCATGTACAAAACAAAAGCCCAACTAGCATTAGCACTACAATTCTATAAATATTTACTCAGAGTCCTGCTGTGCTCAGTGGAAATGACTTTCTACTAAGTTTAGGATTGCAGTCTCAATGTGAAATCTGAAAGGGACTCAGTGACCTCAGAATCTAGGTTTCACTTCAGAGCTTTAAAGCCACACAAATTAATATGGCAGAGGAATGTGGCAAGCAGGGAAATGCCATGCATGCAGAACGTAAACAATCAAACCGCAGAAGCTACAGAAACCTTAACAGCAACAATACACTGCACACTTCCGCTGTCAAACCAGCTATGAGAGAGAGAGAGAGGAGAGAACATTGTATTCAAAACAGGCTTCATCACCAAATTAATTCCCAGTTTTAGAAGTGGTGTAGGTGAAGTGCTAAAATCAACATGCCACACGATTGTTTCTTGCAACTGCATATGGAGTGGCTGTCCTAAACACAATATTTTGTAAGACTGCCAAGACAGGGAGGCCTGATGACTGCCACAGTAGTTTTTAAAGAAGATTCAGAAATAAAAGAATTACTGAAAAAGTGTAGAGAATTCTCCATAAATGCAGGCAAATGCCTGTTCATTAGGGGTCCCTTGTACTTCTTTTTTTCTCACTGAAAAAATCCATGAAGGAAAGACGGGAGGATTGAGCGTAAACTGTCTGGAGGGCCCCAGCAGCTGCTCCAGCTGATATTTAAGTTACACATATTACAGGTATTCCCAGAGACTGAAGAGAAGCGGCCTTCTCACTCAGTTCGTGTTAGCTTATTCCTGGTTAAGCAGGATCATGGCTTTAATCTCCTTAGGCATGGCTTTAAGAAGGTTGCTATGCTGTATTTTAAACCTGATCCAATGTTTTGGGTTAAACAATTGTTTAATGTAATAAATTTTTAACGATCTCAGTCGTATGTATTTATCAGTGTACGTGTATTTCAACTATTCGATTGACCCCATAAAGGACACTGAGCAGGGCTGTGAAGGGCAGGACATTTGGAGGGCTTTCATTTGCAGGGTCCCATAAGTCGGAGATGATTTGAAGGCACGTAACAAAGTCGGTTCCAAATTTGCCACCATGATCCAATGTGATGAACAGGCCAAGACGGGGCCATGCAAACAGAAGCTTGTTTCTCAAAAACTCGAATTGCCAAGGAGGTGTGGTAGTAAGGAGGTTTCGCTCACAGATCATCTCCATCCTGATGTACCCCCTTTATTTTCTCCCATGTAAATGAAAATAGCTGCCATTCACTCCTCTGTGGCAAAGGAAAAGACTGTACCTGGGAATGCTGTTGAAA